CCAGACATCCTGACTCCTCGGTCGTACGCTGAGGTGATCGAGGGTCCCCACTCCTCTCAGTGGCAGTCGGCCATGGACGCAGAGATGGCTTCGTGGAAGTCCACAGGCACCTACGTCGACGAGGTTCCCCACCTGGGGCGAACATCGTCAGTGGCATGTGGATTTTCAGGGTGAAGCGGCCGCTGGGTTCTCCGCCTGTCTTCAAGGCGCGTTACGTGGCTCGAGGCTTCAGACAGCGGCAGGGAGTTGACTACTTTCAGACCTTCTCTCCCACCCCGAAGATGACCACTCTTCGGGTGCTGCTACACATAGCCGCTCAGCGCGACTACGAGCTTCACTCTCTTGACTTCAGCTCAGCTTTCTTGCAGGGCAGCCTGCACAAGGATATCTGGCTGCACCGCCCTCCTGGCTTCACTGGGTTGTTTCCTCCTGGTACCTAGTGGAGCCTCCGATAGCCTGTCTACTTTCTCCGCCAGGCGCCCCGTCATTGGCACGATACAATGAGGACTACACTTGCGGCTCTTGGGTTTGCTCCTTCTACAGCCGACCCGTCGCTGTTTCTGCGCACCGACACCTCTCTGCCGCCATTCTACATCCTCCTGTACGTCGACGACTTGGTCTTTGCCACTACTGACACTGCTGGACTCGCCCACATGAAGTACGAGCTGCAGAAGAGACACATGTGGACAGACCTGGGTGAACTGCGCAGCTACCTTGGCTTGCAGATCACCCGGGACAGAGCACGGTGCACCATTACCCTTACTCAGTCACAGATGGTGCAGAAGGTCCTTCAGCGCTTCGGCTTCCCGTACTCCTCGCCTCAGGCCACTCCTCTGTCTACTCGCCACTCGCTCTCAGCTCTGCCTTTGGATGAGTCTGTAGAGCCGAGTGGCCCGTACCCAGAGCTTGTTGGCTGCCTCATGTACCTGATGACCTGCACTCGTCCTGACCTACCATACCCTCTTAGCATCTTGGCACACTATGTTGCTCCTGGGAGACACTGACCAGAGCACATGGCTGCAGCGAAGAGGGTGTTGCGCTACTTGTGCAGTACGTCGCGCATGGGGCTCGTTCTTGGAGGGCGGAATCCAGTGGTCCTCACTGGTCATGCAGACGCTTCTTGGGCTGACGACCAGGCTACGCAGCGGTCGTCACAAGGTTACACCTTCAGCCTTGGTTCCGGCTCTATTTCTTGGCAATCTACCCACTCGTCTTCTGTTCCCGGCTCCAGCTGCGAGGCTGAGATCTACGCAGGGGCCACGGGTGTTGTTCAGGATCCTTCACTTTGAGAGCTCATGACGAACTCATTACTCAACGCAAATCCACTCAGTAGGAAGTTGCGCCTTAGGCTTAGCTACCATCTCCAAGTTGAATCAGTCGTTATGATGGTCTTTAGAGTGAGAAACGAGTAAAAACGTCCATTAGCCGCATGGCTACTATGGTGGAGGAAGTACAAACATTAAGGCATAGAAAGTTGGAGTTGGGGACTCCAAGAGAACCATGAGAGGGAAGGGGTTCTCCAATAGCTAGGGAAGGATGGTAGGAACCTTCTTAACAGCAAGGATGCAACCCTCATCATGAGGTCCTTGAGGTGTCACATGCAAAATCCAATCTAGTTGGATTTTGCCTAGGTGTTGCGACATTTGCAACCCATGCTAGAAACTTCTAGCCACCCCAACCAAAAGTCAAAGTTGCCTTTATAGTCATGTCCCAAGTAATCACCCAAAATAGATATAACCCTAAAAGGTAATAAGAAATCCAAATCTTGGAAATCTTTAACTTGGGGGATCTTGGTTGGGATAAGGCGATCTTGGTGTCGTTCGAAAGCTCTGGATTTCTCCTACATGATCGAGCATTTAGACTAGGAAAAAAACACAGAGATGATAATATCCAACAGCGATGCACAGTGACATACGCTCATGCAAATTATGCAAGCACAAATAGCACGAGCACTCGGCAGGACGTTAGGATGACATGCACTCAGAATGACGTGCATCCAACAAACTCCCCCTCAGACTAATGGACTGCATGCACACACACTCACACAAATGCAAACTCTCATGCACACAATCACACATGCAGTCACGACACTGCTGCCCACACTAGTGCAATGCCATGCTGCACATCTCAGCACACTTCCAATGTGCGCTCTCGAGAAGTCTTTTAGTGAGAAAATCTGCTGCCTGCTTGCTAGCCTTCACATGGTGAAGCTCAACAGCTCCCTCCTTCACCATCTGCCTCACCCAGTGCCACTTTATCTTCATGTGCTTGTTCAGCCCATTCAGGATAGGATTATTGGCCATGCCAATAGCAGCCTCGCGGTCGGAGAAAAGTGGTGTAGGTCCCTTCTGTTCAGCTCCCATGTCCTACAGTAGCTTCCTCAGGAGCACGATCTCCTTGATGGCATGGTACATCGCCATGTACTCTGCCTCTCCAAAAGACTGAGCAATCTCACTCTGCTTCTTGGACCTCCAGCTCACTGGTCCACCTCCAACCATGCACACAAAGCCGCCAACCAATGGCTGATCCTCATCCTCCGAGGCCCATGTGGCGTCGGTGAAGCACGATAGCTTCAAGGTACCAGGCGTGACCCCATCTACTCCAATCTGTTTCAGCTGGCCGCCAGCTGAAAACTGAACACCAGCAGATGCCGTTGATCCAAGGTAGCGCACCAAGCGCTTTGCCACCTCCAACTGCTCTACAGTGGGTTGTTGCACAACTCTGGCCAGATGCCCCACTCATAATGAAGCATCAGGTCGTGTATGCACTGCAGCATATATCACACTCCCAATGAGTGACTGGTACTCGTTTTGCTGCTCATCTCGAGTACATGATCCTCCTCAGCTGCCTTCTTCAGTTTGAAGCCCGCAGGGAACGGTGTCATCACAGTGCGACCCCTAGACACACCATACTGCTCCATGACACCAGAGATGTAGTGTGACTGATGCACCTTCAGCCACCTCCTTTCAACATCCCTCTCAATCTGCAGCCCCAAGTAGTAGTGGACATCCCCCAGCATCTTGCACTTGAAGTTGTCCATCAGCAGCTTCTGTGTCCTCTCAATCTGCTCCATGGAAGGTGAGAACAGCAGTATGTCGTCAACATACACCAGCAGCAAAAGCAGCTGCTTCCCCTCTCCAAGCAGAAACAAGCTGTGATCTGCCTGGGATGTCTTGAAGCCTCCACCCAGCAGCACCTCCTCTAGCTTCTCGTACCAACATCTGGGTGCTTGCTTAAGGCCATAGATGGCCTTCTTAAGCTTGCACACCTGGCTGGTCGCATCCTCATAGCCGTCGGGCTGCGCCATGTAGATATCCTCATAGTGGTGATATCCATCTGCTTCACGTGCCATCCCTTCATAGCTGCGCCAGCCATCAAAGTCCTCAATGTCACTGGCTTAGCAACGGGAGCGAAGATCTCCCCAAAGTTGACCTTCTCCTCCTGCTGAAACCCCTTGGCGACCAAGCGGCTCTTGAACCGCTCCAACGCACCATCAGCACCACTCTTCACTTTGAAGACCCACTTGCTGCTGATCGGCCGTCGCCCCTCGGGTAACTCAACAAGCTCCCAAGTCCCATTCTCACTAAGAGTGTTGAACTCTGCATCCATGGCAGCCTTCCACTCCTCCTTTTGGGGTCCACTCAGTGCCTCCTCCACTGTGGCTGGATCTCCAGGCAAGGGTGTGAAGAAACAGAACGCCATCTCCTCATCCTCTCCCTCATCCGCCTTAACCGCCATGGCACCTTGCTTGGGTCCTCCCAATCGGCTATACTTCAGCCTTGAGGGTGCTGTTGCCACTCTTTTCTCGCGGGTTGCAATCTGCTGCCCATGTGATGAAGCTCCTCTCTGCACACTCCTTTTGGTGACCTTGGCGTTTGCAGCAAGCTCGGGCTAAGATGGTGAGTCCACACGTGCCGACTCATCCTCCAACCCCTCCTCCACATCAGGACCAGCGCCTTGCTGCTCACCACCGCCACTGTGGTCACTGGTCAGCTCTGACCCAAGGAGATCTTCAAGGTGCAGCTGAACCTCCTCCGCTGCAGACCGCTCAATCTCGTGCAGACGCAAGCCAATCTGCACCTGCTGCTGCTGCTGCCGGTCCTTGTACATGACGTCCTCCACAAACTTGACATCACGCCTGATCAGCGATTTCTTGCTCTTGGGTTCCCACATCAGCCACCCCTTCGAGTCAGAAGCCATCCCAATATGGACAGCCCACACAGCAGCAACTTCCAACTTGTGCCTCTGCTCCTTTGGCACCATCACAAGCCCCATGCAGCCCCACACACGCAGCATGTCAATAGATGGCTTCTTCCCAAGCCAACGCTCGTACGACACCTAATGCTTGTTGCCAACATGCGTCAAGACCCTGTTTTAGACCATGATGACATGGCGAACGGCATCAGGCCAGAACTTGTAGGGCATCCCAGCAGCCCCCAACAAGGTCTTAGCCGCTTCGCCAATAGTCCGGTTGGCACGCTCAGCAATGCCGTTCTGCTGCGGTGTTCCAGGGAAGGTCAGCTGATGTCGGATGCCATTTCTCTTGAGGAACTTGGTGAATTCCGCTCCAAGGAACTCTCCACCTCGGTCGCTCCTCAGCACCTTAACCAGCCGCATCGCTTGCCGCTCCACCATCGGCAACCAATCCTCCTTGATTGCCGTTGCAGCATCGCTCTTCTTGGACGAGGGACGTGCCTACGTGAAACGGCTCCATTCGTCCACCATGGCGAGGAATTACAGCCCTCCCCCAGTCCCCTCAGTCCTCATAGGAATTACCAGGTCCATGTGCACCACCTCCAATGATGCCTTGGCTGATCCCTCCGCACGTGGAAACGGGAACCGCGCAAACTTGTTTTGCATGCACGCCTCGCAGCTGCCATAGTGAGCGCCATCTCCTTGCAGTTGCAGCCCATGCACGTGTGCATCACCTCCAATGTAGAAACAGCTACGTGTGCGAGCCGCCGATGCCAAGTCTCCCAATCCGCTTGGCCCGAGGTAGCCTACGCCTTCACCACCGCGCTTCCTCCAATCAGCTCCTCTCCTTGCACACCTTGCTGCTCCTCCTCGGTGACACTCTCCTCCATAGATGCCGCCGCTGTCATCTTGCCCGATTTCTGCCAAGGGAGGACCGGGATCTGCCACATCCGCTTGTGGACATCTCCCTTCTACTGCAGGTCCGAAATGAGGCGTTCATCCTTGTAGGAACGATAGCGCTCCGAGCCAATCGTCTCGGTGTTCACACCTCCATCTCCCAACCAGCCGGTAGAAATCAGGTTCGCGCACAAGTCCGGCACCCACAGCACGTTCTTCAGCCCCACAAGCTCTCCATCTGCTCCCATGAACTTGGCGCATCCCATGCCCATGACCTTGGCCTTGGCGCCCGTAGCGGATGTGACCGTAGAGATCGGTGCGGGCTGAATCTCATCGATTAGGTCCGCACGAGGAGTCATGTGCCAAGAGCTCCCGGAGTTAATCACCCAATGGGTGAGGGGGTGTAGGAGAACCTTGGCAGCCATAGTGAGGTCGGTTGCGCCTTCGTTCACGAAGAAGAAGAACCCGGCCTTCCGCTCCTCAGACTTGCCGCCTTTCTCCTCATCCTTCTCCTCTCCACTAGCTCCCATGACTCCCCCACTCCTCGTGCCACCACGCTGGTTGCTTGATGAAGGCGGGGTCCAATCCTTGGGTTGTTGGTAGCATTTCCGCCAACGATGTCCGCGCTTCTTGCAGTAGAAGCACACCTCCCCTTGACCCCCGCCGCCAACCTCTTTAGGGTTGTCCTTGCTCTTGCCCTTCCACTTCTTCTTGAAGCCACTTTTTCCACCTCCAACTCCATAGCCAGCCCCCTCCTCCAAGCGCTCCACATTCCGCCGCCGCAAGTCCTCCTCTAGGATGCGCGCGCGAATGTAATCCACGCTCCATTGGGGTTGTTGGGAGTTGAGGTTGATCGCAAGGGCAGACCACGACTCCGGCAGCCGTATCATGATCTCCACGCATTGCACGAGCTCTGAGTACACCACACCGCCGCCTTGTAGCTTCGTGAAGATGTCCCGCATCTCATCCAACACCGGTTGCATCGGCTCTCCATCAACGAACTTGATGTCGCGCGGCCGCCGCGCGAGTAGCACGATGCCGGTAGCATGTGTCAGTGAGTGCACATCCAGAAGCTTCCTCCAAGCCTTGGGGCCAGACTCTGGATCACCCAAGAGGTCCTTGATGTGGTCAAGTTGTCGTTCGCCAACCGCTTGCACCATGAGCATGTACCCGTCAAACGATCGCTTCATCCACGCTCCTTTCAGCTCCGCGGCCTCCGGCATCTTCTCCTTCCCCTCCACCAAATCCAATAGCTTGTATTGGGTATACATCAGCCTCATGCAGAAACTCCAGTGCTCGTAGTCCTCCCCGATGAATTTCTCAATAGAGAAAGCTTTCACAGGATCCACGGTAGTAGGAGATGGTGTAGAAGAAGTAGGTAGCGTAGGGTTGGCTGGTTGGTGAGTCCCCACTCCTCCACCAGCAACTCCCCCCTGCTCTCCAACCTCTCTACTTCTATCCATCTCGCCACTAGCACCTCTGGAGTTCGTACCAACCATATCAAGGCCTTATGAACGGTGGAAACTTGAGCAATCGTTTGGACAGAATTCTGCTAGAAATTTCGATTCTACGAAAATCGCCGTTGCGGACTGGATACTTCGAATAAGTTTGCAAGCAGAGCTACTAAAAAATGGTCGCACTCGACAACATTGGTTGAGAATTCACAACGATTCGTCGTCTCAAAGTCGACTATCCGCTCTGATACCACTTGTTGTTTAGGATCCGTCACTTTGAGAGCTTACGACGAACTCATTACTCAACTAAACGCAAATCCGCTTTGTAGGAAGTTGCGCCTTAGGCTTAGCTACCATCTCAAAGTTGAGTCAGTCGTTAACATGGTCTATGGAGTGAGAACCAAGTAAACAGGCTTAGCTACGTGGAATCCTCATCTGTGGGAGGATACATCTGTGTAGTTGGGGGAGGACCTGTTCGTTGGAGGTCAAAGAAGCAGACGGGGACGGCACTCTCTTCCGTGGAGTCACAGTACATGGCAATGTTTCACGGGGTGAAGGAGGTGATTTGGCTGAGGAGGCTGTTATAGGAGATTGGCCAGGAGCAGAAGGTTGCTACGCCACTGTTTTGTGACAGCAAGGGGGCTCTTGGGATGGCCAGGAATGCTGTGCTTCATGGGCCCAACAAGCACATGCGTATCAAGTGGCAGTGGCTGCGTAATGAGGTGAAGAGGGGGACAGTGAATCTGATCTACATCAAGACTCACCAGCAGCCAGCAGACTTCCTCACCAAGAGGCTTGCCAATGATCCTCATTGGCGTTTTCTGCGCATGAATGGAATGAGCATGAACTAGAATGGAATGATGGGGATGCAGCCAGCAGGCTGAGGGGGAGTGTGTTGGGTGCAAATTCACATTGCACAACATCATGCTGTCTATTTGAACGAATCTGCTTCTGCAAATGCATTTGTTTGTGAATGGAATGTTCGTATGTTTGTTTGCTTTCGCAAATTTCGCGTGATGCATATGCAGGTACACGCACAATATGCACTTCGGCACAACATTGTACGCACTATGAATAGTACAAGCAAAAAGGACGAGCTCACAATGGAACCCAAGATGGAAGCCTTGCGGTTCGGCTTACTTGATTGTGCAGATTCAGTTCTATCCAACTCAAAATTGTACTGTTTTGTTTGGTTGACTATAGTGTAGCAGGGCAGGCACTATAGAGGTACAATTTAGGTGAGGGTTGGATGTTGTTTGTGTGTATCTGCATGCTACAGGGCCAGGGGAAACCAGCGGAACCAGCATTTGGCTGGTTGGGCAAAGACAAAACAGGTTCTGTTTTTAGGACCTGAACCTAGTTGTTGTTTTCCCAGGTTGGAAAAACAGAACCAAAGGTTGTTTACCAGCCTACCACCTGCTGTTCGGTCCAGCCAGGCTGGTTCTGTTGCTTGGACTTTTTTGGGATCATCCTTGGTTATTCCCATGTTGATTCTCAAGGAACTTGCTAGCTGGAACTATTTATTTTTTCTCTGTTTGTACCTGGGTATAGTCAATCTGATTCAAGCAACTTCCTTCCTTCCTAGATTTTCGTTTCTACGCGGTACGACGGCGGAATGCTACCCGAGTCAACGCTAGCACGCTAGCACCCCGTTGCTAGGCAAACCTTTTATGAGTGATAACTCTGTAATGGCAGAACTTTTTGCGAGGCGACTTGGCTCAATTTAAAGCTCTTGGAGCGAGCTTCGATATAGCAAAGTTTCAGCTTAATCCTATAGATGGTCTGCACGATACGTTGCGCGACGATCAAGGTACTCTTGTTATTTTGGCTAAGTCATACTTGACTCTTCTCTCTACAAACTTGGACCCAAGGATAGGGGCTGGTCTTGTACCAGGCACCCAAGGACCCTTGGAGGTGACCCCGAGGAGAGGTTTTAAGTGTGAATATGTCTTAATAGCTTGAATCTATTAGGCCCTTACACCAACAAACACCAGAATCTTGGCTGCCGCGACTATCTTGGGCTGAAATTTTACTAGCTTCCGCCGAATCCTTTCCCGCCATAGCTACATATAACAAGGAAAGCTACAGCGCAGCTTTGATACCAGCTTGTTGTTGTAAGGGCCTAATAAACTCAGGCTATTAAGACTTCATCAAACTTAAAACCTCTCCTCGAGGTTGTCAGAATATTATCTTATTGTTCTAGCCTGTAGTGGGGTGCTCTATAGCGAGTACAACCCTTCTAGGGTTTGCTATTTGTATCCTCATTCTTGCTAGTTCAACCCTCTTTCTTCCTTCTAATTTTGACATGCTATCAGAGCAGGTCGATCCCCTTGGATCGATCCTGTGGGTGTGTCCCCACCTTGCTTCCGCTGCTACTGTTTCCTCCCGCCGTGCGCCCCGAGGCGCGCGGCGATTTTCTGCCCGCCGTGCGCCCCGAGGCGCGCGGCGGTTTTCTGCCCGCCGTGCGCCCCGAGGCGCGCGGCGGGCTTCTCCCCTACGTCGCGGCCCCGCCCCGATCGTCGCGGCCCCGCCCCTTGACGCGGCCCCGCTCTACGTCGCGGCCCCGCCCCGGCCCGTCGCCGCCCGTGCGCCTGCCCGGCTCGGCCCCGCCCTTCGTCGCGGCCCCGCCCCGGCCCGTCGCCGCCCGTGCGCCTGCCCGGCTCGGCCCCGCCCTACCTTCGCGGCCCCGCCCCTTGACGCGGCCCCGCTCTACGTCGCGGCCCCGCCCCGGCCCGTCGCCGCCCGTGCGCCTGCCCGGCTCGGCCCCGCCCTTCGTCGCGGCCCCGCCCCGGCCCGTCGCCGCCCGTGCGCCTGCCCGGCTTGGCCCCGCCCTATGTCGCGGCCCCGCCCTACGAAGCGGCCCTGCCCTACGTCGCGGCCCCGCCCCGACCGTCGCGGCCCCGCCCCTCGTCGCGGCCCCGCCCCTCGAAGTGGCCCCGCCCTACGTCGCGGCCCCGCCCCGACCGTCGCGGCCCCGCCCCGGACCCTACGCGGCCCCGCCCTACCTTCGCGGCCCCGACCTGTCGCGGCCCCAACCGACCGTCGCGGCCCCGCCCTACGTCGCGGTCCCCCCCCTACGTCGCGGCCCCGCCCCGCTCGTCGCGGCCCCGCCCCTTGTCGCGGCCCCGCCCTCCCCTCAGGTCCGTGGTGGGCCCCTCCCCCCCCCCCCCCCCCCCCCCCCCCCCCCCCCCGGCCATTTCCCGTCGCCCGTCGTGGCGACCTGAGGGGGCCGCTTGCGGCGAGCTGTGGGGTGGCGGGTATGGGGGTGGCCGGTGTGCCTTCCTCCCTTTCTCCTCCTCCTCCTTCGTCTCCCACTGCTGCAGCTGTCGCTGAGGGGGGTGGTTGTGTGGGAGACTGGGTTTAGGGTTTAAGGGGGGTTCGTGGGAGTAGAGCTACTGGTGTAGCAGTGGGTGTGTATCAGGGGGGTGGGACTGTGTGTGGGAGGATGAGCGGAGGTTGCCAGTTTGTCGTCAGCAGCACCTGTAGTCCGGGGCGCTGTCCCGGTAGCCCAGTCGTAGCCAGCTGTGCCAGCCGCCCGTGGGTCCGTTGCCCGTCCGCCGCTATTTGAGCCGCGGGGCCTGTTACTCCTGTAGTCCGGGCGCTGTCCGGTAGCCGCTGTGCCAGTCTGCCTCCTGTTGCCCGTGTGTCTGCAGCTTCAGCCGTCGCCTCCTGTCTCCTCTCCCCTCACTCTCCCTCCTCCTCCTCACTTGCCCGTTGTGACTACCACTAGCTTTGCTTATAATTGTGAACTATAAACTATTTCTTCTTGAACTTGTGCTCAGAATGTGTGGTGACATTGTGATCCACCCTGAGCTTGTTTTTGCTTTGCCTGCTCTGCTGATTACACCCCACTTTGGCTATGGGGGTGTGTCAGAATATTATCTTATTGTTCTAGCCTGTAGTGGGGTGCTCTATAGCGAGTACAACCCTTCTAGGGTTTGCTATTTGTATCCTCATTCTTGCTAGTTCAACCCTCTTTCTTCCTTCAAACTTTGACAGAGGTCACCTACAAGGGTCCTTGTGTACCTAGTACAAGACCAGCCCCAATCCTCGGGTCCGAGTTTGTAGAGAGAGGATTCAAAACGACTTCGCCAAATTAGCAAGATTACCTTGAATGTCGCGCAGTGTATCGTTCAGACCTTTGATCAGATTAAGCTGAGAATTTCCTATATCGAAGCTCACTTTAAGAGCTTTAAAATAAACCAATTTTGCCTTGCGAAACGTTCTGCCATTGCAGGATTATTGCTCGGACAGCGTTTGCCTAGCGTTGTAGTGCTAGCGTACCGGTGTTCATGTGAAATAATGAGGAATGGATGAACTAGGAAAGTGTGTGATACAAATATGAAACCCTAGAATTGGGTACCCCTTAGTATCGAACCCACTACAGCCTACATAGGCTAGATAATATATGTTTGACACACCCCCATAGGCAAAGTGGGGGAGAACAAGGGGTCACAAGACCAGTCAAGCAAAGCAAAGCAAGCTCAGGGTGGATCACAACGTCACCACACATTCCGAGTACAGGTTCAAGGCCACAAGGCCAGTTCACATGCAGGATCATATATATGAAGGTAAACAAGCAAGTGCAGGTATATATAGATCACAGTACCAGCAAGGTCAAGAAGTAAGCAAGTGAGGCCAAGTAGGCACAAGTCCTAGCATCGTACAAAAGCGCTGATGATCACAAGGCTGAAGCGCCTTGGTAAAGATATCAGCAATGTTGGCCTGAGAGGCCACATAAGCAAGGCGCAGCTGACCACGCTGCTGCAGCTCATGAGCAAGGAAGTAGCGAAGAGCAATGTGCTTCGTTCTGTGCTCCAGTCTGAGCTCCCGACACAAGGCCAGCATGGCCTTGTTGTCTACGTACAGAACTGGAGGAGAACGAGGCGGCTCTCCCAGGTCGTCCAGCAGGTAGGTGAGCCTGCGTTACTTCTGTGCAGCCATTGTTGGATGCACGTCATTCTGAGTGCATATCATCCTGACGTCCTGCTGAGTGCTCGTGCTATTTGTGCTTGCATGATTTGCATGAGCGTATGTCACTGTGCATGGCTGTTGGATATTATCATCTCTGTGTTTTTCTCCTAGTCTAAATGCTTGATCATGCAGGAGAAATCCAGAGCTTTCCAACGACACCAAGATCGCCTTATTCCCACCAAGATCGCCCAAGTTACAAGATTTCCAAGATTTGGATTTCTTATTATCCATTGGGGTTATATCTAATTTGGGTGATTACTTGGGACATGACTATAATGGGATCTTTGGTTGGGTGGTTAGGAAGGCAACTTTGACTTTTGCTTTGGGGTGGCTAGAAGTTTCAAGCATGGGTTGCAAATGTTGCAACACCTAGGCAAAATCCAACTAGGTTGTATTTTGCATGTGACACCTCAAGGACCTCATGATGAGGGTTGCATCCTTGCTGCTAGGAAGGTTTCTACCATCCTTCCCTAGCTCTTGGAGAACCCCTTCCCTCTCATGGTTCTCTTGGAGTCCCCAACTCCAACATCCTATGCCCTAATGTGTGTACTTCCTCTACCATTCTATTCATACGGCTGCTGGACGTTTTTAATTGGTTCTCACTCCATAGACCATCTTAATGACTGATTCAACTTTGAGATTGTAGCTAAGGCTAAGGCGCACAATCTTACTGAGCGGATAAGCGTTTAGTTGAGTAATGAGTTCGTCGTAAGCTCTCAAAGTGACGGATCATGAACAATAAGTGGTATCAGAGCAGGTTGTCGATGTTGAGACGACGAATCGTCGTGAATTCTCAACCAATGCTGACAAGTGAGACCAGTTTCTAGTAGCTCTGCTCGTGAACTTTGGATTGGTGGTCAAACCGTGTTCTAATTCGAAGCATTTAGTCCGCGACGGCGATTTTTGTAGAATTGAAATTTCTGGCAGAATTCTCTCCAAACGATTTCTCAAGTTTCCACCGTTCATAAGGCCTCAATATGGTTGGTACGAACTCCGGAGGTGCTAGTGGCGAGATGGATAGAATTAGAAAGGCTGAAGAGCTAAGGGAAGTTGCTGGTGGTGGAGTGGGGACTCACCAATCAGCCAACCCTACGCTACCTACATCTACTACACCGTCTTCAACAACCGTGGATCCCGTGAAGGCGTTTTCTATTGAGAAGATCATGGCGGAGGACTACGAGCACTGGAGCTTCCGCATGAGGCTGATGTACACCCAATACAAGCTATTGGATCTGGTGGAGGGGAAGGAGATGTTGCTGGAGGCCGCAGAGCTGAAAGGAGCGTGGATGAAGCGATCGTTTGACGAGTACATGCTCATGGTGCAAGCGGTTGGCGAACGACAACTTGACCACATCAAGGACCTCTTGGGTGATCCAGAGTGTGGCCTCAAGGCTTGGAGGAAGCTTCTGGATGTGCACTCACCGACACATGCTACCGGCATCGTGCTTCTCACGCGGCGGCTGCGAGACATCAAGTTCGTTGATGGAGAGCCGATGCAACCGGTGTTGGATGAGATACGGGACATCTTCACGAAGCTCCAAGGCAGCAGTGTGGTGTACCCGGAGCTCGTGCAATGCGTGGAGATCGTGATACGGCTGCCGGAGTCGTGGTCTGCCCTAGCGATAAACCTCAACTCCCAACAACCCCAATGGAGCGTGGATTACATTCGCGCGCGCATCTTTGAGGATGAATTGCGGCGGCGTAGTGTGGAGCACTTGGAGGAGGGGGCTGGCTATGGAGTTGGAGGTGGAAAGAGTGGCTTCAAGAAGAAGTGGAAGGGCAAGTACAGGGACGACCCTAAAGAGGATGGCGGCGGGGGTCAAGGGGAGGTGTGTTTCTCCTGCAAGAAGCGCGGACATCGTTGGCGGAAGTGCTACCAACGACCCAAGGATTGGACCCCGCCTTCATCAAGCAACCAGCGTGGTGGCACGATGAGTGGGGGAGTCATGGGGGCTAGTGGAGAGGAGAAGGATGAGGAGAAAAGCGGCAAATCTGAGGAGCGGAAGGCTGGGTTCTTCTTCTTCGTGAACGAAGGTGCTACCGACCTCGCTATGGCTGCCAAGGTTGTCCTACACCCCCTCACCCATTGGATGATGGACTCGGGAAGCTCCTGGCACATGACTCCTCGCGCGGACCTACTCGATGAGATTCAGATCGCACCGATCTCTACGGTCACATCCGCTACGGGCGCCAAGGCCAAGGTCATGGGCATGGGATGCGCCAAGTTCATGGGAGCGGATGTAGAGCTCATGGGGCTGAAGAACGTGCTGTGGGTGCCGGACTTGTGTGCGAGCCTGATTTCTACCAGCCGGTTGGGAGATGCGGGTGTGAACACCGAGACGATTGGCTCGGAGCGCTATTGTGCCTACAACAATGAGCGGCTGATTTGGGATCTGGAATGGAAAGGGGATGTCCACAAGCGGATGTGGCAGATCCCGGTCCTCCCTTGGCGGAAATCAGGCAAGGCGGCAGTGGCGGCATCTATGGAGGAGAGCGTCACTGAGGAGGAGAAGCGGGGTATGCAAGAAGAGGAGCTGATTGGAGGAAGTGCGGCGGTGAAGGCTTCGGCTACCTCGGGCCAAGCGGATTGGGAGACTTAGCATCGACGACTCGCACACGTGGCTGTGTCTACACCGGAGGTGATGCACAAGGAGATGTGCGTGCACGGTTTGCAACTGCAAGGAGATGGCGCTCACTATGGCAGCTGCGAGGCGTGCATGCAAAACAAGTTTGCGCGGTTCCCGTTTCCACGTGCGGAGGGATCAGCCAATGCACCATTGAAGGTGGTGCACATTGACCCGGTGGATCCTATGAGGACTGAGGGGACTGGGGGAGTGATCTACTTCCTCACCATGGTGGATGAATTGAGCAGATTCACATGGGCACGTCCCTTGTCCAAGAAGAGCGATGCTGCAGCGGCGATCAAGGATGATTGGTTGCCAATGGTGGAGCGGCAAGCGATGCGGCCGGTGAAGGTGCTGAGGAGCGACCGAGGTGGAGAGCTCCTTGGAGCGGAATTCACCAAGTTCCTCAAGAGAAATGGCATCCGACTTCAGCTGACCTGCCCTGGAACAACACAGCTGACCCGGTGACCCACTTCAGGTGAACGGCATTGAGTTCCCGAGTGGAGACCACCTGAGCCGGTGTCCGGTCAGGTGGAGTCCACTTAGTGCCTCTTGCAAGCGTCTACTCCTGTGAGAAGACCCAGTGTCCGAAATTCACCAAGTTCCTCAAGAAGGCTATCTATGGCCTTAAGCAAGCGCCCAGGTGCTGGTACAAGAAGCTGGAGGAGGTGCTGCTGAATGGAGGTTTCAAGACATCCCAGGCGGATCACAGCTTGTTTCTGCTTGGAGAGGGGGAGCAGCTGCTCTTGCTGCTGGTGTATGTCGACGACATACTGCTGTTCTCACCTTCCATGGAGCAGATTGAGAGGGCACAGAAGCTGCTGGTGGACAACTTCAAGTGCAAGATGCTGGGGGATATCCACTTCTACTTGGGGCTGCAGATTGAGAGGGATGTTGAGAGGAGGTGGCTGAAGGTGCATCTGTCGCACTACATCTCTGGTTTCATGGAGCGCTATGGTGTGACTGGGGGTCGCACTGTGATGACACCATTCCCTGCAGGCTTCAGATTGAAGAAGGCAGCTGAGGAGGTTGATGTACTCGAGGATGAGCAGTAGAATGAGTACTAGTCACTCATTGGGAGTGTGATGTATGCACCTGTGCATTTGCGACCTGATGCTTCGTTCGGAGTTGGGCAGTTAGCCAGAGTTATGCAGCGGCCCACAGAGAAGCTGTTGGAGGTGGCAAAGTGCTTGGTGCGCTACCTCGGATCAACGACATTTGCTGGTGTTCAGTATTCAGCTGGCGGCCAGCTGAAACAGATTGGAGCAGATGGGATTACGCATCGAACCTTGAAGGTGTCGTGCTTCACCGACGCTACATGGGCCTCCGAGGATGAGGATCAGTCATCGGTTGGCGGCTTTGTGTGCATGGTCGGAGGTGGACCAGTGAGCTGGAGGTCCAAGAAGCAAAATGAGATTGCTCAGTTTTTTCGGAGAGGCAGAGTACATGGTGATGTACCATGCCATCAAGGAGATCGTGCTCCTGAGGAAGCTGCTGGAGGACATGGGAGCTGAACAGGAGGGACCTACACCACTTTTCTCCGACAGCGAGGCTGCTATTGGCATGGCCAATAATCTTATCCTGAATGGGCTGAACAAGAACATGAAGATTAAGTGGCATTGGGTGAGGCAGATGGTGAAGAAGGGGATTGTTGAGCTTCACCATGTGAAGACTAGCAAGCAGGCGGCAGATTTTCTCACTAAAGACTTCCCGAGAGCGCACATTGGAAGTGTGCTGAGATGTGTGGCATGGCATTGCACTAGTGTGGGCAGCAGTGTTGTGAGTGCATGAGTGATTGTGTGCATGAGAGTTTGCATTTGTGTGAGAGTGTGTGCATGAAGTCCATTAGTTTGAGGGGGAGTTTGTTGGATGCACGTCATTCTGAGTGCATGTCATCCTAACGTACTGCGGAGTGTTCGTGCTATTTGTGCTTGCATGATTTGCGTGAGCGTATGTCATTGTGCATGGCTGTTGGATATTATCATCTCTGTGTATTTCTCCAAGTCTAAATGTTTGATCATGCTGAAGAAATCCAAGCTTTCCAATGACACCAAGATCGCCTTATTCCGACCAAGATCACCCAAGTTACAATATTTCCAAGATTTGGATTTCTTATTATCTATTGGGGTTATATCTGATTTGGGTGATTACTTGGGACATGACTATGAAGGGATCTTTGGTTGGGTGGTTAGGAAGGCAACTTTTACTTTTGGATTGGGGTGGCTAGAAGTTTCAAGCATGGGTTGCAAATGTTGCAACACCTAGGCAAAATCCAACTAGATTGGATTTTGCAGTGACACCTCAAGGACCTCACGATGGGGGTTGCATCCTTGCTGCAAAAAAGGTTCCTACCATCCTTCCCTAACTCTTGGAGAACCCCTTCCCTCTCATGGTTCTCTTGGAGTCCCCAACTCCAACTTTCTATGCCCTAATATTTATACTTCCTCTACCAACCTAGTCATACGGCTGCTGGACGTTTTTACTTGGTTCTCACTCCATAGACCATCCTAATGACTGATTCAACTTTGAGATGGTAGCTAAGGCTAAGACGCACAATCTCACTGAGCAGATTTGCGTTTAGTTGAGTAATGAGTTCGTCGTAAGCTCTCAAAGTGAGGGATCCTGAACAACAGCTAATGCCTCCTCCATGCAAGCTAGTTCCTTTGGTGCAGGGGCAAGAAAACAGTAGGCACGTTCATACTCCTCATCCGGGTCATAGCCATGCGGTGGGATCAGCAATTCCTCCTCGGTCCCAAGCTGCTTATCTGCTACATCAGCTCCTGCAGTCATCTTCTTAGTAGCCATACGGGTACGTCCTGGCCTGGAGACGGGTGTCTCCCATCCCCTCATAACGACTCCCTTCGGCTTCTCAGTTTTTCCCTGCTGCTGCTCTCCTCCCTCGGATCCAGCAGCTCCACTAGTGTCACCACTAGTCTCCACATCATTTTCTCCACCAGTAGGTGCCTCTTGTATCTTCTCTCCATCACTACCCTCTGCAGCTGCCTCCTCTCCCTCCTCCCACACACTAGGAGTCACGTCCAGCTGCATGGTGATCTGCTCCAACTGCTGGGACACCCTGGCTTCCGGCTGTTTCTCCCAGCTCCCGTACATCATGCCCTCAACAAACTTCACATCTCTGCTGTCAAAGAACACACCCTTGGATGGTTCCCACAGCAGCCATCCCTTGCTCTCAGCAACCAGCCCCAAATGCACACACCAGATTGCACTCGCCCCCAACTTACTTTGATACTTCTTGGGGACGTGGGCGATTGCCATGCAACCGAACACCCTCAGCATGTCCACTGACGGCTTCCTCCCAAGCCATCTCTCCAACGGCACCCACGAGTCATCACCTACCTTAGTGAGCACCCTTTCCCTGGCCACGGTAGCGTGCCTGACAGCATGGGGCCACATAAAGTTGCCCTGCCCATGTTCTATGAGCAGTGCCCTAGCTGTCTCCAGAATTGTCCGGTTCACCCGTTTTGCTACACCGTTGAACCGTGGGGTGTAAGCCGTGGTCAGCTCCCTTTGGATGCCCTGCTTCTTGAGCCAGGCTGTCATCTCAGCTCCAAGGAACTCACCACCCCGATCTGTCCTAATCCGCTTCACCACACACTCCGCTTGCTTCTCCATGAATGGCAGCCAATTTTCCCGTATCGTAGAGGCAGCGTGGTCCTTCATCTTCAGCGGATATGCCCACGTACGACTGCTCCAATCATCCACTATGGTAAAAAAATACCACTCCCCCTTGTGCCCCTCAACCAGCAGTGGCCCCACCAAGTCCATGTGGACCAACTCTAAAGGCTTCTTGCTTCTGCCAGTCACACTATGGAAGGGGAAACGTGTGAACTTCGGGAGAAAACAGATTTCACAGTAATCATCGGGTGCCTGTCCGTTTAGCTTCAGACCCTTAATGGCTCCATCCTTCTCCAACTGCTTCAACAAGGGCATTGCCACATGCCCCAAGCGTCGGTGTGCCGTTGCCCAATCCGTCTCCCCAGATCTGGTCGACACTTTCACACCAACCCCTCCAACGGCGTTGCACTCCCCTTGGGATGCAGACCCCTCTAGCCTGCCCCCCACCATGCCACACCAACGCCGGCAGCTGCCACATGGATTGGTACACATCCTTGCTCTCATGCAGATCTCAATGCACCCGATTTCCCAGCTGCCCCTTGTACGTGCGTGCCCTATCCGTACTAGTGCTCACCCCAGCCTTGCCAAGCTTACAGAGGGAGATGAGGTTGGCCTTGAGTTCAGTAATGAGGAGAGCGTCATGCAGCACCACAGGCTTGCCATCTGCTCCCTTAAACACAGCTCGTCCCGCACTAGCCACCTTCAGCACATGTCCAGAGGCAGAGCATATACGCTGTCCAACAGGTCCTTGCGCGGCGTCATCGTCCAAGCAGCACCCGTGTCCAACACCCAATAGTCCAAGGGGTGCAGCTCTGCTCCAACTTTGGAAGAGGCGTCTCCTTGCTCCCCCTGCTCTCCAATATGGAAGAACTGGCCCACGGTGCGCTCCTTCTTCTTCTCCGCACCGCCGTTGCTCATAGGGTTGTTGTCAGACGAATCGGCGACCATGTTCGTGCTGTATTTCTGGTTTCTCCGTGCGCCGCCATCCAGGTGACAATTCTGGGGGGTCCATCCATCGGGTTTCTTATAGCACAAAAACCAGGGGTGCCCCTCCTTCTCAATACCAGCAACTCCCTTTCAGTTTGCCTCCAGCACCTGACTTGCCCCCACGTCCTGATTTCACACCGCGACCCCAACCGGTACCTCCTTGTTGGTCGTTGGAGTCGTCGTCCTTCTTTGCACCACGTACAGCACCACCAAAGCAACGTCCTCTGCCACGTCGGCTCCCTTGCATCCCATAGTCGCTCCTGCCGTCGTCTCCACCCCTCAGTTGGCAGCGACGGAAGTACTCCTCCAACACCTTTATCCGCACCTACTCGAGTGTCCACGAGCTCTAGTTTTGCGGCAGGCTCAATCCGCTTGTGAATTGAAGCCACGATTCAGGCAGCACCGAGAGCATCTTCGATCACTTGGTCTGCTCCGGGTAGGTGATTCCCGCGGTCGCCAACTTCACGTAGAGGTCACACAGCTTGTCAAAGACAGGTTGCACCGGCTCTCCCTTGCTCAGGCGCAACGCGGATAGCTCTCTCTCCAGCATCAACGTTGCAACAACGGAGGTCGGGGCGTGCAGCTACTTCAACACGGTCCACGCCTTTGGACCGCAATCAACCTCCGGCAGCAGGTGCATGACGTGGTCACGCTGGTTCAGCTCCAAAATCTGCGACATCAAATAGTAGCCAGCCAAGGTGCGCTTGTCCCAATCTTCCTGCAGCGTGGGGTCACTTGGTCTAGGCTCCTCCCCAATCATTAGTTTTAGCAATCCAATCTGACGAAAATAGAGTTGCATTTTCCAGGTCCAATCATCATAGCCCTCACCATTGAACTTCTCGACGATGAAGTTCTTCACCACCTCCTTGACCAGCCAGTCCTGGTTTGTTCATGCTCCCCTTGGCGCTGAAACACCAGAATTTTGGCTGCCGCTACGATCTTGGGCTGAAG